GATCATCCCAGTTAGCAAGACACCTAAAGGGAGAATCTATAGGATGGCTCCGACCGAGTTGGACGAACTTCGGCGACAACTGAAAGAGCTCACAGAGAAGGGTTGGATTCGGCCTAGCACCTCCCCCTTTGGCTCACCAGTCTTTTGTTCCAAAGAAAGGGGGAACACTAAGGATGTGCATTGATTTTAGAGGCCTCAATGCCATCACAGTTAAGAACGCAGAGCCTCTACCACGCGTCGACGACCTATTGGATAGGGTGCAGGGATGTAAGTACTATACGAAAATAGACTTAAAATCCGGCTAACATCAATTGCCATAAGACCAGAGGACCAATACAAAACCGCATTTCAGACCAGGTACGGTCTGTATGAGTTTGTGGTGATGCCCTTTGGCCTTTGCAATGCGCCGGGTACATTCCAGCATGCCATGAATAGGATCTTCCATGACTACTTCGATAAGTTCGTTGTCGTGTACCTCGACGACATACTTATCTTTAGTAAGACTGTCGAGGAGAATGCTCAACATGCAAACAAAGTACTTTCACTCCTTCGGCAACACAAGTATAAGATAAACCTAGAGAAATGCGAGTTTAGAAGCACTCGAATCTTGTATTTGGGTTATGAAGTATCTGCGGATGGGATTAGGCCCGAAGATGCAAAGGTGGCTAGCATACGTGACTGGCCACAACCCCAGTCTGTGACTGAGGTCAGATCATTCTTGGGAATGTGTGGATATTACCGCAACTTCGTAAAGAATTATAGTACGATTACATCTCCCTTTACTGATCTAACTCGACTTGACACACCACGGGGCTGGACCGACGAGTGTGAGGCAACTTTCAAGCGTTTGAAGCATGCTCTCACGCACCATGAAGTTCTCATGGTACCCGACCCGCAAAGGCCGTTTGTTGTAACCACTGATGAAAGCCAATACAACATTGGCGCAGTGCTGGCTCAACAGGTAGGGAAAAAGTTGAGACTGGTCGAGTATATGAGCAAAAAGATGCCATCAAAGAAGTTGGCAAAGTCCACCTACGAGAGGGGACTCTATGCTCTCTACAAGGCACTTGTCCATTGGAGGCACTATCTGTTAGGGAGGTTCTTCTATTTGAGAATTGGCCATCAAACCCTCAAGTGGATCAAGACGCAACCAGTTCTCTCTGATGCACTCAAACGTTGGATTGAAGTCATAAATCAGTATGACTTCAAACTAGACTATGTGAAGGGCGAGTACAACAAGTTTGCGGATGCGTTGTCTCGAAGGGCAGATAACCTAGGTGCGCTGATTTCTGAGTTTGGCTTACACAAGACGTAACTCGATCTTTGGGGGAAGCCTACAAGGAAAATCCCATCACGATGGACATCATCAACACAGTTCAGGCCAAAGATAGGGCCACTACTGACGAGTCTGTGATGGTGGATGGGTTACTCTTTCTTGAAAAGGCAAGGTTTAAGAGGTTAGTTGTTCCATCTAGGGAAATTTTGCGTAGTTTATTTTTAGGCGAGTGCCACGACGCAACGGGACATTTCGGCTACAAAAAGACTAGTGCTAACTTAGTACAGCGATTCTGGTGGCCTAACATGCTGGACGGTGTAAAGAAGTACGTACAAACCTGTCAGGTCTGTTAGCGGGACAAGGCGCGGACTCAAGCTCAGCTTGGGTTACTCAAAGCCTCTACCCATTCCTGCTGGCCCGGGGCAGAGTATCTCCATGGACTTCATGGATACTCTCATGACCAGCAAGAGTCGCAAGAGGCACATCTTTGTCATAGTGGATAGGTTCACTAAATATGCTAGACTAATTGCCATGTCGGAGACTGCCAGGACTGAGCACGTGATTAAGTTGTTCATGGACAACTGGGTGCGTGACTTTGGACTGCCAAAGACCATTGTTAGTGATAGAGATGTCCGGTTTACCGGTGAGATGTGGAAGAAGACCGCTAAACAGATGGGCAGCCAGCTTCAGATGATTTCTGGGAATCATCCCGAAGCAACTGGGCAGGCTGAACAGATGAACCGGGTGGTGCAGCATCTGCTGAGGCATTGCATCAAGCCCAGCCAGGATGACTCGGATGAGAAACTACCTCTCATCGCAAGTTTGTACAACAGGGTTGTACATAGCACCACCATGGAAGCCTAGATCTGCTCTAGACTTCCTCCTGCAGGAAAACCAAACTGCTGCAACTCCTGGAACCATTGAATTTGGTGTCCAGTATAAGAAATTGTTGCAGCAGACTGTCGAACACATCAAGAAATCTCAGGAAGCCATGATTGCTTCTGAGAACAAGCATCGTCGACAATCCACATTTCAGGTAGGGGAACGTGTCTAGGTCAAGGCTAGTGAGTTGGGACAGGAGTTTGACATCTCTAGGAAACTAATGCCTCAGTATTTCGGTCCCTGGGAAGTCTTAGATATTGTGGGGAATGATTTGGATGGTCCCTCGTACGTCATTCGTATCCCTGGTCACCTACGCACTTACCCTTTTTTTCACGCCTCCAAGCTTGCACCTTTCGCTGAGACAGCACAGTTCCCATCACGGAGATCTATGCTGCCCCCAACCATGGATGGCCACGTGGACGTCGACGATATCCTGAACCACAGAGACATGCCTGTTCCCAAGCCAATTGGCAGGGGTAGACCTAAACCTGCAAGAGAGTACATAGTACATTTCAGGCATCATACTGATCCTAAGGAAGATCGATGGATTCCAAGGGAGGAACTTGTCAAGACAGCTCCTCAGATCGTGGAAGAATATGAGAAGAAACTGAAGGGAAAGGCACCAGCATGAAGCATCTCAGCGGACTTTCGAAGCAAAGGGGGATGGAATGCGAGGAACGAGCCCTCACGGGGCCCTATCAGACATCACATCTTTTGGGCAAAGGCCCCCAGCAAGCCAAGTGCCCGCCCTAAGTGAAGGCGGGCCTGAATATTCGTCAAAGGCCAAAATTCGACACTTTCATATGTGGGTATTCAGGCTCTTGCAGCACGCCAGTTGGTTGAATAGACGCGCGAGCCTCACTAAGCTGCGTCGTATAGTTGGCCCAGGCCTTGACAGTTGCGCCTGGGAACATACACACAAAGCAGGGCCGATACATTTGAGAAGCAGGCCCTCGGCCTAGGCAAAAGCAGTACTGTCGATGCATCTATCTGGGATCCCTGCACAAATGCAGCAACAGCCCAAGTCCGGAGACTCAGGCCGTGCCCAACTGTAAATGGGGCCCAGGCCCTCAACTGTAGTCTCGGGCCTGGGCGTAGGGACCGAGGCCCAACCGGCAGCCACTGGAAGCTTCCAGCCAGGCCACACGCAGCATCCAGGAGGCTGCCACTTCCATAGAAGAAGTGAGGCAGCCCAGGCCAGGCATTCTGGCCTGTGTAGCCAATGCGGAAGTGCTGCTGCGCTACTGCTTGATGCTACGCTGCGGCCAAGGGCGTTGACGGGGCGCGTTGAGGTGAAGTGGGGCGCTGCAGGGCAGCGGGGCGCATGCAGCCATAGCCGGGCTGCTGGGCGCCAGGGGGTAATGCGGGCGATCTGGTGGTCTTCAGGGAAGGAGGCGAGTGTGGGGTTATCAAGGTCTGATTGAGAGTGACGAGATACGTACCTGGTACATGAAGAGAGGTCGGGTATGGTGTTGACAGTCATGTACATTGGTCTTCAAGAGTCGAAGAGAGCCTGTTGCGTGAACACAGCTGTAGGTAGGATAGTCGGGTAGAGTAGGCTGGGTGCTGGGCGCCAGACAGAGAGGGGCGACTTTGGATACTGTGTTGGTGCGGCGTACGGGCTTAAACGTTGGCTCATTACTTCATTGTACTGCTCTACATGGATGGTTTCTCGGTGCATTTGTACTCTCTGCTTGGACACGACTACTTGGACATCTGTGTGATTTCGCAACTTGGTTTTCTGTATATCGTTCACACTCATATTCCGTGCACAAGATGGCAAACAATCTTCTTTTTAGTATTGCTTCAGACTGCATACCTTCTATGTAGTTCAGCATGAAAGAAACAATGAAAAGGCAACTGGTAAGGATTTGTGCTGATGGGCGAGAGCGAGGTGTGCGAGAATTGCCGTGTCCGTGTGGTGTTGTGTGTGGTGTGTGTTCAGTTCGACACTACAGCCTTGCAGGGGTGGGGTGGATATCATGACCGGTATGATTCCACTTTTAAACACCGTGTCCTGGCTGTAGTGGTTAAGATACCTGGTTCTTGACGCCGAGGTCGCCTGTTCGAATCCGTGCTTGCACGGTGGAAGACGTCGGGCTCCTGCTGGGATGGTAGCGCCATCCTGTAACCCCAGCTGTGCGGGGAGCTAGATGTGCAGATTGACTTAGCTGCTGCAGCTGCTGCATGGGGGCAATAGAACTATTAACTTCTATAAGCTAAAAGTTTTTGTTGACTTTGTTTCACGACAGTTCGGCTAATGCACCTAATAATAGGTTCGTATCATGGCAGCGATGCTACAAAAAAATTTCAGAAAAGAAAAGAAGATTTCAGTATTCGAAAAAATTGAAAAATTAAAAAATAGTTCATGGACTTTTATCGACTAAGTGAGAAGCGTGCTCCTGAGAAGTTGTACTCGTTGACCTTTGCTGAGTGTGGTCCTCGCTGAGGTTGCTGTTTTGTCCTTTGTAGTCTATTTTTTTTCCCATGAAGTTAACCATGCCATGAGCATAAATGTGCTTCATGGAAATACATCAACATGGTTTCTCAAGGAAAGCTGATAACTTTGGTGGGTGCATATCTGCCTTCTTAAACCACCAGTACCCAAGAGGCTTGGAGGTGGGTACCTCCAAGCCCACCTCCAGGCCTCTTTTTCCTGCGGTGGACTTCTGCTGCGCGCGAATTCCAAAAGGAGACGGTGTGGCACCTTTTTTCTGTGTCCGGGAGGCCAAGCCTATGAACAGAACAGCCACCGAATTTTGCCTGGCAAAGGTACCGAGGTGGTTCAAGTTAAATACAAAAGAAGACAAGAGGGACAATCAATGATATGTCAAAAACTTACTTGTTCACCTTCAACCATGCCACATGCAAGGACTGTCTCTTCTTCTCATCTAGCTCCTCTATCACTTTCTCAATCTTGACTTTGTCTTTCTGTTCACAAAACATGCACCGAGCGGTGAAGGCAAATACAATCAGCCTTTGTGACGCACAAATTATCAAGACTTGCACGGTGTTGTGCCCCTCGCTTCTCTTTCTCTTTCTCTTTCTCTTTTTTTTCCTGAGAAATTCTTTTTTTTTTTCAATCATTCAGTTTTCGTTAACAGACCTGATGTTTTCAGGGTGTCGATGCACAAGCAATTTCTAAAAATTATTTAATATAATGGAATTCTGATCACTACTCGCCACTCGCCACCTCTTGTCAAACACTGAAAATAACAAACAGCATAGCAAGGCCATCAAAACAACCCTCACGAGAAGAGGCAAATACGCACACAAAGCTTGAGCAGAGGAGAGACGTGATACACAACATGTATCTGCCTCTGCATTCCACAGCCAGCCAGATCAGATAAAGGCACTAAGATGTCTTTATAATGTGGCACCTTTTGGTCAATTCAGGCAGTGGTTGGGGTAGATCAGGCCATTTCTGTTTAACTATGCAGACATTTACTAGGCCCGCAGATGCCTGGCTGCAAAATAGACGTATGACGCCCAGAAGCGGAGGGTGTGGTCAGTCTAGCAAATGAGGGCTAAGATGTCTTTATAATGTGGCACCTTTTGGTATCGCATACCCACAGCAGATCAAAGACGCTACAGAAGGTTGGGTTCACACCACCCTCGGCAGTAGTCAGGAATCTTACCCCCAATGAAACAAAGGCGCTACAGAAGGTTGGGGTTCACACCACCCTCGGTAGGCAGGAATCTTACCCCCAATGAAACAAAGGTTTATGGTATCGTCGTTAAGGTTCGCTACAACCAGGAAATACATGCCAGGAACTTAGCTGTCGTCGACACATGACATGGCTGCAACTAACAGCCTTGACCACGAACAGAGAAACCAACATCGGTTGTGACACACTGTTTCATCCGACTTTCACTAACTCATCAGGGGGTTGACTGAACCCTCGACAGTCTGCCGAACCAATTACCTAACGTTCTAAGCCATAACCTGCCTTGACCCAGAGAGCCAAAGCGGACTATCACCTACCCACACCACAACCAAGACTCCATAGACTGCGTCCTTTGGGACATCCGTTAAAATCAGACCGACACAGAGAAGACTAGCATGGCCCCTGCGCAAGGCTGACACACACAAACTGAGAAATGGTCCAAAAAAAAAAAAAAAAAAAAAAGACTCCAGCCCATTGACTGCGGGCTCATTTCACCCTCAGCAGCACAGAAAGTCCCCAGTGACACAACGTGGTTAACCGGGGGTGTTTTTTTTTTTTCGCCGGATTTTGCACTGAAAGTTCTGAAACTGTTACATTGCCCTGATTTTTTGCACCTTAACGAAAGGTTTGAAACAAGACAACCGACGGTCTGTCTGTCACAACCGATGGTTACCAGTAACAGACCCAACCATTGTCTCACTTGAACGTGCCGACTGAACCATCGACAGTGAGCTAACTTCGTAGTGCTGCTCATGCAGAGATATTGTCGCAGAGGACCGCCTGGGCAACGGCTGACAGAAAGAAAAAGGACATCTGTTTGTATTTAGTGGGAAGCTGGGGGGTTCCACGTGTTCTAAGTTCACAGAAGATTTTCTGTTAGTCTTTCTGTGTTCAGTGGAGCTTCAACTCCTTGTTATCCAACACCTCCAATCAAACAGACAAAAAAATGACAAACAGATCGGCAACATAGAGGTGCAACCAATCAGCATTTGACCAACCAACTCACCTGTATGATGCTTTTCTTTGCAATAAGTTGATTGTACTCCTGCTCTGCCTTCTCAAACATGCTTATAACTTTCTTGTTGACGCGTTTCTCCAAGCTACAAACCAGCACCAGCCATTAAATAAGGAGAGCTGACATATCATGCATGCCCGCAAAATTCGCCGCAAATGCAATTTCTGCAGAGGGTTCATGGGTGATCAAGAGAGACTATTACACTGGGAAAAAGAAGTCAAGCAATCCCTGGCTTTGGGCATCAGGCCTATTGCCTGCCCCATCGAGTCCTGAAAGATAAAGCACCAGCACCGTGCGGGACCCTATTTGCCAAGCCTTGATAATCAGGTCTACCACAATGGCAGGGGTGAAGAAAAATTATCTTTCATTTTTGTCACAATTTCGTGCCCCAGGCTGTCAAAATTGTGTGCCCCAGGTGTACCTTCATTTCTTTTTCTGTCTTTACCTCGTGTTGTTTTGTGTTGATTTTTATGTCGACCACCCTTCTGGCATTCCTTCTGTCCGCTGAAGAGCTATGTGCGAATTGTCTTCAAGTCTTTGTGCATGATTTTCTCCTGAGAGGTGGCCGTTTGGAGTACAGCTGTGCTGTACTGAAGCTATCAGCAATGCCTTTTCACACACATCATCACTCATACACACACATATTTCAACAGAACCACACTCCCCCCCCCCCCCCCCCCCC